CTATGCTATTAATACTGTTTATGTATACGGACAAGAGAAATACTTATTGGTAAGAAATTCCATGGCATACCAAGATTATTAACTCCTGGGTACATTCTGAAGTGACTCTTTGAAAACAAATGCACTTATGTGCAATTTTTTTTTCACCTGGTTTATTCATTGGGATTTTTTTCTTTTTAGTAACAAGAGATAAAAAGATAGACCTACAGAAAAAACAGACTCAAAGAAATGTGTTCAGATGTAATGTAATTGGAACGAAGAACTGTGGGAAAAGTGGAGTTCTTCAGGCTCTTCTTGGAAGAAACTTAGCGGTGAGGGTTCTTGGAAAGTAGAACTTTATACACAAATTTTTATAGTCCTGAGTTTACATAATTTTTTTCATAGCCATTAACTGTTTTAGATGATTACTAGAACTCAGTGGCCTACATGTATTAGTAAAGTACAACCTAAATGTAACTATACTCCTGTTGAACTGTTTTTATCTTTGTTTCATTGGTATCATTTTTTAAACCAATGCTTAGATGAGGATTAAATGACTACACAGGTGAAAGCCCCTAACACAGTCCTTGGCATGAAGTAAATGCATAGTAAGTATTTCAAATTGAGTACTGATACCTAGTTCTGACTATTCCCTTGAGTAAGAAGACCTGTTTCCAAATGAGTCTAATATCATACCAAATTATAGTATAGAGAGAATTGCCAGCAGGTGGCTCTAAAATGTACGCGGGTACTCCAAAAAGTTTATGGAAAAAAAGAATTAAAAGATAGTACAAATCTTTCCATGAACTTTTTAAAGTACCCCTCCTACTTTCAGTAATATAGTTTATTTCCTTTTCGGCTACTTTCACTTTATGCAGAACAAATGCATCTTTTGTCTGAGACCTTAAGAACTGAGAAGCATAAAATCAATACCCTCTTTGTACTGATAAATAGTACATAGTGTAGGGAAGAATGCCTTTTTATTTGTAACATACCCACACATATATACAGAGGGTGTGTGTGTGTGTAGATGAAAACTAGTTACTGTAATTTCTTACTGTAAATATTGAGATTTTCGGTTCTATTTTCAGAGGCAGAAAAAAATTCGTGATGACCATAAATCCTACTATGCTATTAATACTGTTTATGTATACGGACAAGAGAAATACTTATTGGTAAGAAATTCCATGGCATACCAAGATTATTAACTCCTGGGTACATTCTGAAGTGACTCTTTGAAAACAAATGCACTTATGTGCAATTTTTTTTTCACCTGGTTTATTCATTGGGATTTTAATTCCTTTGATCTGTGTGATGATTTCATGGATATAGATATAAGTAGAAAACTACGTCTATTTGTGCACTTATTTGTATGTTAGTGATACCACAGTAAAAAAGTAGAAAAAAAAATTACCCTTTTTACTCTTTTTCCACTTCTGTTTAAAAAAATGATTTCCTCTATGATTGACTAGAAATTAATATGAAAGCAGTGCTGGTGCTTGGTAGTTTATGTATAATCTGAATCAAGTTTATCTATTTAGCAGGGAGAAGTATATTTAACAAATGTGTAAACCAGAAAAATCTATGAAGGAAGGGTCTGACTGAAGAGATACTATGAAATACAGTTGAAAGAGGTTATATACTCTCCTTGGATCCAGTCATATTTTAGTTTCAACCCTGGTCTACCATTGATTAGTTGTGTGACCTAGGGCAAGTGGCCTATTCTCTCCGAGTCTGAGTTTCTTCTTAAGTTAGCTAAATGAGAAAGAAGCTCCTAACAAATAATAGGTACTATAAAAAGGTCATTTCTTTCCTTTCTTTTTGGAAATAGTTTATTTGGCCGGATGATCACATTGAATTTTATACATATTTTACTTTTTATGACAAAAATTTGTCAGTTTCTTATTAAACCTTGTTTATCTCCCATTCTTCTCCTATAATTCTACATATTTGGTACTCAGTAAATACTGTTGACTTGTTAATTTTTCTGTTTTCTTATTCTTACACTATTCTTTGAAAATTCTTAACCTTTCATGTCTCTGACTATGCCTGCTATACTAGTGTTTTATTTGGGATATATTGAGTCATTTCTGACTCTACGCTTCCCTTTCATCTTCTCAACAATGATGCATTCTTTTATATAACTTAGTACTGAATATTACTGTTGTTGAATCATTATCCTATCATAGATGGGATATTTCTTTAAGAGATTTTATAATAAACATTGAAAAGAGTAGGCAGTGAAGTAGAATAAAATGACCTTAGTATAAAGAATCATTTGCTTTGTGTTTTTGACTGATGGGGAGAAAAGGTGGTGTGGTAGAAAGAAAATAGACTTGGGAATCATATCTGAGTTCAGATTTTGGTCTGATGACTTCTTTGATGTGTTATCTTTTACACTGACTTAATCTATCTACCCTGTCTCATTACCTGTAGAATGTAGACAACGCATGTAAAGGGTCTGCCCAGCACACATTTAGTCACTCATTTCTGTAGAATCTTAATCACAATTTTAATCCACAAAATCCAAAGACACTCATTTTTCTATACTTTCTACTTTTAAAAATGGCCTGAAACATTATGCTTAACTAGTACTTTCTTATTAGGAAGTCTAGTTGAGCAAGTAATAAAATATCATGACTTTAACTATACATCAATATTATGATACTTACATTTCTCATTATCTTTTTCCTTTTACAAGTTGCATGATATCTCAGAATCGGAATTTCTAACTGAGGCGGAGATCATTTGTGATGTTGTGTGCCTGGTATATGATGTCAGTAATCCCAAATCCTTTGAATACTGTGCCAGGATTTTTAAGGTTTGCTGCTCTTATGGACTATGACTAAATATAACTTTATATGGAGTTTTAATGGTATTACAGTGTGGTGATTCCTAACCAGAAAAATGCAACAAAATCATTTATGGAGCTATTTAAAAATACATACATCTTTACCCTATCCCTAAAGGTTCTGGTTTGTTCTAAAGTGGTAGTGTCCCAGACATGTGTATTTTTAAAAAATTTTTTCCACATGTGACTCTGATGAGCATTCATGGTTAAGAACTTTTGCATTAATGGAAGGTCTTCCTGGCTGTTAGGAATGCATATGTATTATATATTGCCAATTACATCAAGAAAAACAGCCAGAGCAAGGGGATAAACCAGAGGCTTGGAAAGTGTATAAGTCACTTTGAGATTATCAACAAGATTCAATAGAAGTAAAAAGCTATATGTACATAGGTATTTATTCTAGCACTGTTTTTAATAGCAAAAATGCTGGGAATGATCAAGATGTCTAACAATAGGAGGATGGTTTATCAAATTAAGATAAAATAACGTAGTGGAATATTAAGCAACCGTTAAAAATAATAGTTTTGAATTCTGAAGAACATGAAAGATATAGCATTATATTTTTAAATGGTTATGTCCAGCATGACTACCACTATATAAACATGTATATAAATGCATATGCTCAAGGACTAGAGGTCATATGAAAATAGTCTCCTTTAGGATAGAAGAATTCAGGTGGCTTTCTTTTTATTTCAAAATGTTTGTGTCTTTTTAATTTAAAAAATATATTTAAAAAATGGTACTGAATCTAAAGAATCAGTATAGGTCTGGTTTGTTACCAGCATTAGAAAGTGGCTTGGTCTTATTTTTATGTGAGACTGACCTAGATCACTGCCAATCTTGCATCTTGGTTCATTTTCTCTCCCTGAAACTATTGTTATTTTGCCTATCCAGAGAAAATTTTTAGTTCACATTTAATTAAATAGTAATTTTTGAACTTATCAGATTTTGTTTCATTTTTTATTCTATAGCAACACTTTATGGACAGCAGAATACCCTGCTTGATTATTGCTGCAAAGTCAGACCTGCATGAAGTTAAACAAGAATACAGTATTTCACCGACTGATTTCTGCAGGAAACACAAAATGCCTCCACCACAAGCCTTCACTTGCAGTACTGCTGATGCACCCAGTAAGGATATCTTTGTTAAATTGACAACAATGGCCATGTACCCGTAAGTACTTGTTCTGTCTTCATTTTCATGTTGCATGGTTCATAATAACATTGCATGCCATTATTAGCCATGGGGTGGGGGCAGGAATCTCTGTCATACAGAAGTTGCTCAGCAACAGAAAGAAAAATGAGAAGGTACAAATTTGAGTTAATGCAACTTTGGTTTGGGTGTCATAATAAAATGATGTAAACGGTGTTTCTGACAATATTTTTGAGCAGGCTGTAACTATCTCAGTAGGATAGTACAATAAAACATAACCCCCTACCTAGCATAAAAAAAAATCTTAACTGCAATAAAACGGAGTTGGCATCCTGTTGTTTTATGCTTATAAGGCATTTCCATATGAACGAGAGTTCATATTTATATTTTTCTATTGATTAATTGACCTTGGGTATGTGAAGTATTCTAAAATCTTTTATGAACTTATGTTGAAATTATGGTTATGTTTGAGTTCAGGATATAATGTCTTTTTTAAGTGCTGTAAAAAATAGTTATAATTGGAATTTCCACTATATAAATGTTTTGTATTAAAATGTATGAGCCACAAATTTCATGTACATTTATTATATATCTACACATGCGTATACACAAGCACATAACTGTTGTCATCTTCATAGTTTACTAATTGCCTTAAAATTGCATGGTTCTTAATGGCATTTTCCTCAAGTAATGTGTTCGCTTATGTTTTGTAACAAAGTAGTTTTTCAGGCAGTGCGTTTCTCAGGACTTCACTCTGTAGCTTATTCTATTTATTATTAGTTTAGTTCCTAAAGTATTTTTCTTCTTATGAAAACTACAGTATAAAATAGAGTAGTAATTAAATGTTGCTATAAACCAAGACTGAGGTTTTTCCACAAATGTGTTAATTTGTATAGATTTTTAAAATCAGAGTTCAGCTTATGTTATTCCATAAACTAATACTTTAAAGTAGTGCAACAAACCTTTGAATATCTATTTGTATTGGAAGACAAGTCATTCCTATTACTATCAGATAAGCAAAACCTTATTTATGTTTTACCTTTGCTTTAAAACTCTCATGTATGTTATCTACAGAGAGGATCATTACAGAGACAGACTCACCCGAGCCATGGGCAACACTGATAGAATAGAGAATTTGAGAAAAATCTGGGTCTTTCTAAAAACTGCTTTGTAAGTTACTTTTTCTTTATGACTTATGTTGGATTTTGTTGACATTTTCTTATAGGATGACCAAATCTCCTTTCTTGCCATAATTTACATTTAGTAATTATCTAGAAACGCACTGCTTGGTCGGGCTTACAGCCTAACTGTGTATTATGATGTCTTATTTACTATGTAAATGTACTTTTTTAATCTTGTAAGTAACTGCAACTGTGTTTTTAAATCTACATCTTTAAAACATTTTACTGCAATTCTTTGTGTGTGTGTGTGTGTGTGTGTATGTATGTATATATATGATAAATGTACATACATGGATATTTGTTTATATGGTTAATTCCAAACTGTGTGTGTGTGTGTGTGCGTATGTATATATATGATAAATGTACATACATGGATATTTGTTTATATGGTTAATTCCAAACTACTTCTCATGAAGCATCTCCCTGTTGCTAAGCATACTTTGCATCTCTCCTTTTTGGTGGGTGGAGCCTTGTGTATGTTGAAGAGTCAGATTCAGTTTATAAAATAACAGATGGATTCCAGTATGACAGCTGGCAGTGACTTGGTAGCATTGATATGCTCATCACCACAAGTCAAGTTTTAAAAAGAAATGTCTTGAACCTATAAAAGTTTTTAAAAAATTAATTTTTGTTTTTCTTCATGTTGGAAATTAGGCGTTATTGGGATGCTGCTAATCTCCACAACCATGCCACCGTATGCTATGGTCTCATCAGATCTCACAAGCTAAGCCAAGTCAGATTGGGCCAGTCCTTTGACTGGGAAGCCTCTAAAAATGTTCAGGTGTTACAGGAAGTGATGGCATTGATTCGTCAGGTGGCGCTCTTCTGAGTGGGTTCTGCGCCAGTACCTCTTCATGGGTGGTGTGATGGCTTTGTATGTCTGAGTGGCTCTGACCACTGAACAGTTATTGGAGATCCCTACTTTGGTAGTTAGGACTGAGGTGAAATGGGTTGCCCTATGTGCCTACACCAACTAGTGTAACTCCACTCAACCAGAAAGGAGTCAGAAAGCTTTCCTAAATTTCATACCTGATTTCAATTAGATCCATTGTTGATTTTTACATCCTTACCCAGAGTTTTATACTATCATACTTAGCTGTTGTGTTTTGGTAGCAGATAAAATTAACCCTATATTTGTTCAAGTGGAAATTTATGAAGCACTTTGATTTCCTTTGGGAGCCAGGGTGCTTGATGAATTAAAGACGATGTTGTTCATATCTTCTCAGGGTTGAATATACTCGTCTTTTGACTCTTTTGTGTATTTGTCACTCTTCTCCTTCCTGGTTTTCAGGCATGTGTGTATGCTGCGGGAGGAGGAGGAGGAGGGAATGGTTATTTAAGTGCCAGCAAACCTTGTCCTTTTGGTGGGTGCTATGGCTTACTCAGTTTTTCTTTTTATTAATTTAGATGAGGGTGCCATCTATTGCTGTGCATATTTATTCCACTAAAAGTCATGTAATAATAATTCTCCCAAAAAAAAGCAAAAGTGTAGCAAATTTTTCCTAGATTTTCAACAGCAAGGGAGGAGGAAGCTATTACTATTTATTATGTTTTTGGTAAATGTGGAATTCTGCACAACTTTAGCATGCCCCACACTGTCCTTTTCCTTTCTACAAAGAGTGTTGCTTATGCCTAAGCCTTTTTTTTTTTAAGTTGGCACACCCTGACTTGTGCCATATTTGTAAGAAAGAACTCAACTCCTGTCCTTCTGTGTGTTTTCGCAGCCATGCCCGGTTACGCTGTATGTGCACCTGCAACAGGTGTACATTTTGCATCTGTCAGAACTTCCTCAACTCAGACTTGCTGCAATCTGTAAAGAACAAAATCTTCACTGCAGTTCTTAACAGGTTCTTAACTTTATTTACTGGATACCAGGCATTCTGTTAAAATACCAAAGAAAAAAGTGGATAACTCTTTGTTATACAGATACTCACTACAAAGACAACAAGCTGACTGATGCCCAACTAACTTCCACTAAAATTCTCACTGTGATGACAGTTTTTAGCCTTGGGAGCATCCTTAATAATCTTTTAAAATTAATAGGTATATTTAGAGGACTATAAAATGAGATTTTGAATTTTTTTCCATTAAGTTAAAGAATCTTTCATATTAGAAGCTAATATGTGTCAGATTAAAATCTTTTGGCTGTGAGTTGTAGAAATAGCTTGGGACTTTTGTAGTAAGGAAAAGACATGTTTATTCCAAGTAAAAGATATTATGTTATACTGTGCTCAGTTTATATGCAAATAATATATCTTATTAAAACAGTATTTGGGGTTTGAAAAAAATTCTCTGTTCTTGAAACTATTTATAAATACAATCTACTTTTAAGTACTGGGATGTTTATTTGAAAGAACATGGTTCTGGAAATGAGGATAATAACCAACTTTAAGGACTCAAAGAAAGATGGAAATGAAAAAGAGATATGTAGTACTGGTTTTTGAGGTCTTTATAACTGAGCCAGATATGAAGTATTCCTATAGAGTAATATGCTTTTAAAAAAGAAAGAGATAAAAAAGATGTATACATTCCCTCAAAGCAATCAACGTGAAAGGTTATATTCTTATTCTGATCATGCCACCTTTGTTCAAATCAGATTTACATTTTTTGAGCATGTAAGAGCCTATGTAATAATTTGTATCTGTCAAATTTGTATATGTCTGAGGATGAATAAGGTTTTTGAAAATCATTTAAATGTCATTGGGAACTGGGCTTGATTAGGATGGATAATCAAGCTAAATAATAGATTTTGGTTAGAAATGGCTCAGTTATTTGGTTCACCATTGGACCACTTACTGAGTGCTAGACTCCCAACTGTATCAAATGATCATAGTTTGTGTTTACCAGCAATAAAGTAAATGTGTCTATGAAACAGTGAGACAATTTCTTATGTGAGTCAGAAACTGACTTTGAAGGCATTCTAAAAGAGTTTCAGTGACGTTTTGAGCACACTAGCAGCTCTGAAATAAGGATGCAGCCATCGCAGGTGATTGCTTTGAAGGGATCACCACACTCATTTGGTGGTAAAGTTCTACTTCTATCCTTTGAGTAACATCTTAAAGTAGTAACCCAGACAGCTTCTCTCATGACAACTGACTGAGAAAATACAAGGCTAGTTCAAACCAAACAACATTCAGGAGCTCCAGTATTGGGATCTTAGAGTTGGAAGAGATTCTAGAGTTCATCTGGCCTAGCCTCCTGTTAGAATGCCTTCCCAAGCCTTCCTGAGAGAGTGCTGTTTATCTGATGATGGCTTTCCTCATTGAAGAGGGTTTTTGCTTTTGGTTTTATTTTTTTAAACTAAAATGTTTTCCCTATAACTTTCTCTCCTCTAGTTTTAGTTCTGCCCTTTAGAACAACATACGACTATTCTACTCCCTCTTCAACATAGCCATCCTTCAGACATTTGAAGACGGCCATCATGTCTCCCCTAATTTTCTCTTCTCCAGGTAGAACATCCCCATTTCTTTCAGCCTTTTCCTAAATTAGATGGTTTAGTGACCTCATCATTCCTGGTTACCCTCATCTGAAAGCCCCTTAGGTTTTCAGGGTGTCTCATAAAAGGTGCTTCTGAGAATGGATAACAGTGCTCCAGATGTGGTCTGACTAGTCCAGAAGAGTTGGGCAGTCATGTTCCACAGTTAGGACAGCACCTGTCTAGTGCATGAATTAACTTTTTTTTTTTTTTTTTTTTTTTTCTTTTGTCTTTTTTCCGTGTCCGGCAACGGATCGCAACCCTCAGTGTTGCCCCCGTACCGGACCGGGGACCGGCAACGGGATTGCAAGCCTCCGTGTTGCTCCCGCGCCTCGCTCAGCCAGCTCTTTGGTAATTACGGTCTCACTGTTCAGTTCTGGGTAGGTTTATGTTTTTCTTTAGAACAATTTATGAATAACTGGAATTATTTGGATTTAAATACATTTGGAGGATGATTAACATGTGGTCAGATGATTTGTAAATCATTTTACTTGGAAAAAACGCCTTTTGGATATATTTTAATTTTTAAATACTTTTAAATCCAAAAGTGATAAAATGATTATGTGGGAATGAGTTGGTTTGAACTATCCAGGATTTTTATTTGTTAGGTATTTGTTGCTCCGACTTGAGAACACTCCTACTTTGCATGAGAATGTTACTGTATTGTAGTGTGCTATGAACTTTAATTTGTCCTTTCCTTTAGGTGTTCATTTCACTTATTTGTCTGCAAGAATGGAAAGAATGAAAAAGATGAGTAGAGAAACCAGTGTACCATTCAAAGAACTCCTTTTTTATTCTTGTTAGTATCTCAATCACTTATTTGACAGAAGTATAGTGGAGTTTAGGGGTTCTATACTGAAGTTTCTTCTAGTTTCTGAAAGGATGTAGGTAGGTAAGGTAGGTGGGTGGGAGCTAAAAACTCAGCGCCTAGGACTCTGGATGGATAACGTAAATGAATGAAAGTGGCAAGTGAAGAAACGGAGAGGTGGGGACTGTGATGGTCCCTGTCTAGAGGCAGCCACCACTCAGCTGTGGCCATTTGTTATTGTGCAAGCTTGGTGTTGCCAGGTTTTCTGATTCTGTTAAGAGACTGGAAATCAAGTTATCTATTTTAATTTAATTTTATTTTTTGGGTGTCTGGCTGGTATGGAGATCCAAACCCTTGACTTTGGTGTTACAAGGCTGAGCTCTAACCAGCTGACCTAACCGGCCAGCCCTAGAAATCAAGATTTTTATGTGAAATTTACTGATATTTAAAGAATAGCAGTTAACTTAAAAAATTTAAAAGTATGTTACTAATCAGAGCAAAGTATGATTACAGGCCAACAGTTTGCAACCTCAGTCTTACGATATGGTCTAGAGTTGTGAAAGTGGAGGCCAAAAAAAAAAAGGGATACCTAAGGAGTGAAAATGTCTCTGCTCCCACCTCCACCCTAACATTTTACTACTTTCCCATGGAAAATTTGAAAAAGTTATTGGGTGGTAGGATGAAAATGGTGCTACCTTTTCTTACT